TTGGTACTTTTCATTCCCCTGTATTTCAGATATTCCTCAACCACTGCAACACTGGGATCAGGACTGTGCCATAGAGCAGGGCAGAAAATGGGTTTCCTGTCCTGCGTGAAGTTTTGTGAGTTGAAAAAAATTCCAATTTCACAGTGGGATAAAACTGAGATCTTTTGAAAATTTTCACAGCTATCAGAGATGCAACCTCTTCCCACCGCACCCCCGGTCACTCTGCTTTCCTCTTAAGAAAACGGAAAAGACTGTCTCTCTTTCTCCCATAATGAATATTTAATTATTTATACAAAGTAAAACAGCTTCAACAGTAGAGCTCTACCTCAGAATAGCAAATAGCCTAGTGGTTAGGGCACTCACCTGGGCTGTAAACGACCTGGCTTCAAATCCCTGTCCCGAATCAGGTAGTACAGGGGCCTGAAACTGGTTCTCCCATGTCTCTTGCATCCCCAGTGATTAGAAAGGTGGCAGCCCTAACTGGTCCTCTCATGGAAGAAGTTTCAGGTTTAACTAATCAGCATTTTGCAACAAAAAAATGTTTTATCAAAACATTCCCAACCAACTCTACTGGTAGTAATGGAAGCTTAACTTGACTAGCTTACTTTTGTCAATATTATGAGATACCTGATGGAATAAAAGTAGATTCTTTACATATACAGTTGCATTTAATAATGTAAGGCCCAATCCTCCCCCTGCTCTCATGGTATGGCCCAGAGATCACAACATGTTACTACCATTCTTCATATCATTTCCACACTCAAATATGATCCCCTTTTCATTGCTCCTGGATACCACATTTGGAATCTCAATATTGGATAGAGGCCCCAACTCAAGCTTGAGCTGATATAAATGCTGTTTCTTCTTTCCATCATGACAACCTGAGACGCAACCCCACCACCTATATTCCCAATATTCTGCATATTCTTACAGTGTAAGCCTGAGAACCCAATGTGCATAATATAGTCCAGAAACATGAGCACATTATAATCATGCAAAAAAGACCATATGATCAGAATTCATATACTTCAGAAAGAAGAATTTCATGTCTTCCGAGTAGCAGGTAGCATAGTTTCCTCCTAACTAAGGAGCATTTGGGAAGGTAAGGGGCAAAATACGAGTGACGTTGATGCTGTTACTCCTTTTGACCCAAGTTGCTGGTCAAAGTTCAGGGCCCTATTGGTTGTTTCCAGTAGGAAGAGAAATTGATGATAGAGCCAAGTATTTTCTTTGATTCAATCTTGTTTATTTACAAAGATTATATATAATGTTCTGTTTCCTGCACTCAGTAGGAATCAAACAGCAGGAGACAGCTACTTTGCTCACTATTTCAAATCTGCCTTTCCAGACAGCATTCTGTGCCCCAGAAGCTTTCTCTCTCAGCTTTTTGTCAGGACCTCATTACCAGCACTTCTGCTATGTCTGTCTACCTAGCTTGTGCTCTCTTTCTCTCTGTCCACGCCACCCTCACCCCCAAACACACGTACACCAATCAAAGCCCTAGTCCAAGCATTTGAAAACTCTTGGGCCACATCATTTATTTTCTATTCAAGCTTTTTCATGTGCTTTTGCTTGGTGCTACTGAAATTGTTTCTTTACATTTATCCTGAAAGAAAAGCAGTGGATACACCCAACCCATAACAACAAGGTTTAACCCAACTCACAACAATACTTTCATTTCAGAGTTCCAAAATTTTTGTTATTTCTTTGAACTACAGTGATCTATACTCCTGTCTTTCAAACGTGTCTGCTAACTGCAACACTGTAGTTATAAAATGAATGGTCCTTTTTAGAAGCTGAACTTTATATGTCTGCAAATACATAGGTTCTAAGTTATGCAATTTAGATAATGGAACTCTAAAACAGGGGTTCTCAAATCACCACTTAATGGCCTCTCATAGTCATATCCCTGCCATTCATTATATCTTGAACCACCTCTCTTCTCCTCCTGTCCACTAGTCATGGGGGAGGGAAAAACAGCAGGGTGGGTTTTTTTTTTTGTCTTTTCTCTTAATAGTGTGATGAAAAGAGCATTTCACAGTTTGTGATGAGAGCTCCAAGCGGAAGGGTAAAAGACAGAGCAGAATAAAGAAAAACATGTTTAAAAGATCAAATACACATGTCATTTTGAAGGTGACTCATGAGAGAAAGGTGGTTCAGTACTTTAAGTACAGAGTGTTCTGCCTCCAGCTCTTCTCTGTCTCATAGACTCATGGACTTTAAGGCCAGAGGGGACCATCATGATCATATAATCTGACCTCCTTCACATTGCAGTCCACAGAACCTCGCCCACCCACTTCTGTAATAAATCCATAATCTCTGGTTGAGTTACTGAAGTCCCCAAAGCTTGATTTATAGGCTTCAAGTTACAGACAAGGCACCATTTACTTTAGTTCAAACCAGCAAGTGACCCATGCCCTACACTGCAGAGGAAGGCAAAAAACAACAACAACAAAACCCAGGGTCTCCGCCAATCTTACCTGGGGGAAGATTGCTTCCCAACCAGAAATATGGTGATCAGTTAGACTGTGTGCATATGGGTCAGACCCACCAGCCAGACAGCTGGGAAAGAATTCTCCATGGTAACTCAGAGCCCTCCCCATTTAGTGTCCTATCTCTGCCCAGTGGAGATATTTACTATTAGCAGTCACAGATGGGCCATATGCCATTGTAGGCAATCTTCTCATATATTCCCCTCCATAAATTTATCAAGCTCAGTCTTAAAACCAGTTAAGTTTTTTTGTCTCCACTAGTCCCCTGAAGGCTGTTCCAGAACTTCACTCCTCTGATGGTTAAAAACCTTCATCTAATTTCAAGCCTAAACTTATTGATGGCCAGTTTATATCCATTTGTTCTTGTGCCAACATTGTCCTTAACTTAAATAATTTCTTTCCCTCCCTGGTGTTTGTAGACTGCAATCATATCTCCTTTGTTAGGGTAAACAAGTCAAGCTCCTTAAATCTCCTCTTGTAAGGTAGATTCTCCATTCCTCTGATCATTCAAGTAGCCCTTCTCTGCACCTGTTCTCATTTGAATTAATCTTTTTTAAACATGGGAGGCCAGAATTGCACACAGTATGCCACATGAGGTCTCACCAGTGCCTTGCATAATGGTAATAACACGTCCTTATCTCTGCTGGAAATATCTCACTCGATGCATCCTAGGATTGCACTAGCCTTTTTCATGGCTGCATCACATTGGCGGCTCATAGTCTTCCTGTGATCAACCAATACACCCAGGTCTTTCTCCGCCTCTGTCATTTCCAACTTATACGATCCCCTCTTATAGCAAAAATCCTTGTTAGCCCCTAAGTGCATGACTTTGCACTATTAAATTTTATCCCATTTCTATTATTCCAGTTTTCAAGGTCATGTGTGATTATTTCAGTTCTCCTCCATACTGGCAATACCTCCCAACTTTGTGTCATCCACAAATTTTATTAGCACACTCCCACTTTTTGTGCCAAGGTCATTAATAAAATACTAAATAAGATTGGTCCCAAGACCAATCCTTGAGGAACAACACTAGTAACTTCCCTGCAGCTTCACAGTTCAATTTTTGAGCATGACTCATGTACTCTCCCCTTTAACCAGTTCCTTACCCAACTTTTGATTCTAGTATTAATCCCCATCTTTTCCAATTTCCCATGTGGAACTGTATAAAATGCTTTATTGAAATCCAGGTAGATTAGATCGATTGCATTTCCTTTATTTAGAAAATCAGTTATCTTCTCAAAGAAAGAGATCAGGTTGGTCTGGCACAATCTATCTTTTGGCAAACCATGTTGTATTTTATCCCAATTACCCTTATGTCCTTAACTACCCTCGTTTTTAAAATCTATTTTAACACCTTGCATACAACTGAGGTCAAACTAATGGGCCTGTAGTTTCCCAGATCACTTTTTTTCTCCTTTCTTAAATATAGGTACTATATTTGCAATTCTCCAGTCAGAGAGTATGACCCCTGAGTTTAAGAGTCATTAAAAATCCTTGCTATTGGGCTTGCAATGTCACATGCCAGTTCCTTTATGTTCTATTGGATGGAGATTATTCAGATCCCCCAATTTGGTCCCATTCATTTGAGTTTGGCTTCCATTCAGAGGTGGTAATTTCTACTTCCATATACCTGTTCCCATTAGTTGCCCTGCCACTGACCCCAATGCTTCATTACCCTCATTAAAAACTGAGGCAAAGTATTCATTTAGGTGTTGGGCCGTACGTAGATTATCTTTAATCTTCACCCCATCCTCAGTGCTTAGCGATCCCATTTCTCTTTCCTTGTTTTCTTTTTATTTATATGTCTAAAGAACCTTTTACTATTGGTTTTAATTTCCTTTGCAAGGTCCAACTCTCAGTGGCTTTTGGCAGTTCTCACTTTTTTCCTATGCTTATTGACCTTCAAGAGGTAGCTTTCCTTGCTGATCCATCCCATCTTCCATTCCTTGAAGGCTTTCTACTTTCTCTTAATAACCCTATTTGAGATGGTTGTTCATCCAGCTTGGTCTGCAACCCTTTCCTATGATTTTTCCCCCCCGGGCTTGGGATGCAGGCTTCAGCTAGCTTCTGCAACTTTGACAAAGTAATTCCAAGCCTCCCCCACATTCAGATCTTTGTGAGATGACCCACGTGTGGCTTTAGCTTAATTCACTGGCACCAGGATGACAATAGCAGTGATGATGGTGGCAGTGGAAGATGTGGTGGTGTTGGGAGGAAGGCAGCATTAATGTTCACAGTGGGGTGGTGACGTGCTTGGCATCATGATTTGTTTCAGATACTACAGCAGCATCACTGAAATGTTCTCCTGGCACTACAACAGTAACCTCATGTGCTGGCCCCCACGCCATCCTGATTATTCTGCTTTATTCAGTGGAGGAAACAGTGGCAGGCGTAACACTGAGTCTTGGTACTAACACAAGTGGCTTTGGACAAGGTGTGCATTGTCTTGCCCCTGACGTTGTTTCTCCTGGTTGGTCAGTCTTGAGAATTACAAGTTGGGGGCATCTTTATAAAGAAGCTATTGAGGCATGCATAGCTCACACAGTCCTTTTGCCACCCACTGAGAGCTGCTGCTGTCATTGCCTTTCTCCTGAGGGACACTGCCTCACAAAGCCAATATAATGTGCAACCGGTTTGTGGGAACCTGGAAACTTGTCTCCAGTGAAAAATTTGATGATTATATGAAAGAATTGGGTGAGAAATGCTATTTTTATAAGCTTTGCTTGGAAATGTCTCTTCTTCTTCTTCTATTTGCTCCTGGAAAATGTCTTTTCCCCGGGCCTGGGGACTCTTCACTGTGGTTATATCTGTGTTATAGTTCTTTTCTTCTTCTTTTTTTTTCTGTTTCAATTTCAGCATCTTAAAATGAAAAGGAGAAATCTTGGGTTTGTTATAATACATTTACTAACTAACTGATCTGCATCTCTTACTCCCATTTAATGAGAAATGGAAAAAAAACATATTTGTTGTCCCTCTTGCATATACTATTAAACTTAGAACTTACAATCACTTACTGTATTCTGTCAACTTGTGATGGTGCTGCTGTCTCCTGACACTGAGCTCCCTGGGGTCTAAATCCATGAATGAATCCATCTGTAACTGAGAAATGCTGGGAATGAAACAAATTAGGCATTGTTTTTTTAGTTTAATACTGGCTTCATCATTTTGTAATGATTGCACTGGCAGTCAGTCTGAGCATTACTGTTGCTGAGACTTTAATTCCCTTTACTTTAAAGGTTAAAGAGAGTAGCAGAATAATTCCAGTTGACTAACTACAGTCAATGTTGGGTATAAATTCAGCTAGGGAGGTTTTTGTGACAATACCAGGCCTTAAGAAAATTATTTCAGCATTGAATATGTGCAGTGACTAATGCTGTACTTTACAAATACTTCGATCTCACTGTACCTAGTACCTTTCATGGAATTCAGCACATCATAGAATTTACAAAGATGGTAACTATTATTACCAGCCTTTTACATTTAAAAAACCGAGACACAGCAAATCAGAGGCAAAAGGAGGAATAGAAGTCTCAGAGGACTGCTCTAACTAGTTTACCAGGATATGGGCTGTGTGGTATAGCGAACCTTGTAAAAGGAGCCTTGTAGATGGCAGTTGTATTTGTAGCTTTTTGCTCCCATTCACTCTTATATTTGAATTTTTCTCTATTTGACATGTTTACGTTTCACTGATGTTTAGATGTTCCAGAGATAAAGTGTTGTAACTACCCTTCCGTAGCAGAGAATACTAACTAAGAGTACCCCACTTAGTCTCTTGTATATTTTATGTTCTGAAGTACAAACAGAAATGCACTCATTTCTAGATACTTTGATTCTTTACTACAGCTGGTTGAAAAAAATTGAATTTTGAAATGTTTTGACTCGTAAAAAGCAAGGGGCAAATGTTTCAAAAATATTTTTGTGAAAAATTTTCCATGTTTACCACCAGCTCTATTCTCTAAATGGGTGCAGATTAATAGATGCCTGTGTTCCTGCCTACCTAAAAATACATAATTCTTGTGTAGTCGTATATCCTGGTTTCTAACTACACACACAGTATAATTCCAGTTATCTGAATTCCTTTTATCTGAAAATCCTAGTTTTCTGAATCCACAGTGTGTCCCCAAGTAGCCCTATGTGAATTAGTCATCTGCTAATAACTTCTAAATTAGCCTCTGAGAGCCTCTTAGGGCAGGTCTACACTACAGCTGGGATCGACACTCTGAGATCAATCCACCAGCAGCCGATTTGGCTGGTTTAGTGAAGACCCACCAAATCAACAGCAGATCATGCTCCAGTCGACCCCTGTACTCTACCCCCGATGAGAAGAATAATGTAAGTCGACAGGAGAATTGCTCCTGTTGACCCCCCGTGGTGTAGACCCCGCGGTAACTCGACCTAAGGTACATCGACTCCAACTACATTATTCATGTAGCTGGAGTTGCGTAGCATAGGTTGACTTACGGCGGTAGTGTAGACATAGCCTTAGTGCTAATCAATGACTTTGTATTTTTGCAGTGGTTCTGAGGGGTTATCTGCAGTTACTGAGGCTAGGTCTACACTACGGGGGGGGAGGGTCAACCTAAGATACGCAACTTCAGCTACGTGAATAGCGTAGCTGAAGTTGCATATTTTAGGTCGACTTACCTGGCTGTGAGGACGGCGGAGAGTCAAGCGCTGCCGCGCCGCCGTCGACTCTGCTTCCGCCTCTTGCCGCGGTGGATTTCCGGAGTCGACGGCAGAGCCATCGGGGATCAATTTTATCTGGTCTTCACTAGACGCGATAAGTCGATCCCCAATAGATCGATTGCTACCCGCTGATCCGGCAGGTAATGAAGACGTGCCCAGAGACCAAATCCAGTTTCAGCAGCAACAGCAGCTTGGAAAGACAAATTAAATTATGTTTAATTTGAATTAATCAGAATTACGTTATGTCCACAATGATTCTAATACCACTCAGTAAAGTTGTTCAAGTTGTTTTTCTACTCTTTTATAAAGTACAAAGTATTAAACAAACATTGTCATTACACCCTTCATTTCCCATATTTCTCTATCAGTGAAACTGCAGCACAAAATAGCACTTCTGTTTATCTCAATGCCCGGCTATCCAAAACTTTCAGAAGTCCCCCAGCCCATTCAGATAAATATAAGTGTACTGTACATACACTGGACTGGGGAATGCCTCAGCTTATGAAATGCAGCCTCTGAATCTGAGAAATTAGTGTCACATTCCAAACAGAGAAACGGTGTTATCTGTTTAAAAGGAAATTGCTCTGATGCTCTGTAAAGCAATAAGGAATTTCTTCCTTCATAGAAGGTATTTTTATGTCTGATTTGCAGGAGTGGGCTTAGCCACCAGGAAACTAGGTGGCCTGGCCAAGCCCAATGTGATCATCAGAATGAAAGGGGATGTGATAACCATCAGAACTGAAAGCACCTTCAAAAACACAGAGGTCTCCTTCAAATTGGGCCAAGTGTTTGACGAAACCACAGCAGATGACAGGAAAACCAAGGTGAGGGTAATGATTTCCTTCCGAGGGTTTCTGATCCGCTGGATGACAAATGGGAGGATTTTTTTATCCTTAAAAGCATAAATCTGCAAAGCACCATAAGAGGAGCAAATGTTGTGCTGAAACCAACGTTGCTGAGTGGGCTATGTGCCGAGAATGTGGAATTTGCTCAATGTTAAGTGAATTGTCTCTTTAATATGCAAGGCTCTGGGAAAATAGTCAAATTTTTACTCATTCTTTGGGTCTTTGCAGAGTATCGTAACCTTAGAAAAAGGGTCATTGGTTCAAGTGCAGAAGTGGAATGGCAAAGAGACCACAATAAGGAGAAAATTGGTGGATGGGAAAATGGTGGTGGTAAGTAACTAAACCATCCCTAACCATTAATCTCTAATGCTGCAATGATGTAGGCCACAGTTTAATATTTTAAATTTAATTATACTGTCAATTTTCACCTTCTCTTTGGTTTCAGGTATGATAGAAATAGTGAGAGGGGTGCGGGGGAAAAATAACTTTAGGAAGCAAGTGGGAATGAAAGTAAACATTATATTCCACACACACCAAAAAAACCCTCTACATTAAGGTGAATTACAGGTAAGACTGCTTCATAGTTTTGTAGATGTTAGAGCTTGTGAACATCTATTCTGACCTCCCGCATAACACAGGCCAGAGGACTTCCCTGAATTAATTCTTGCTTCAAGTCCAACAGCTGTGACTGTGACAAAACTAGAGCAGATCTTTTAGAAAAAACATCCAGTCTTGATTTAAAAATCTGCCAGTGATGAAGAATCCACAACCACCTTTGGTAAGTTGTTCTAGTAGTTAATTGCCCCAACGCTGTCAAAAATGTGTGCTCTATTCCTACTCTAAATTTATCTAGTTTCAACTTTCAGCCATTGGATCTTGTTATACCTTTGTCTGTAGACTGAAGAGTCCACTATTACCGAATTTCTGTTCCCCATGTAGGTACTTATAAACTCTGATCAAAGCATGCTTAACCTTTTCTTTGATAAACTAAATAGATGGAGCTCCTTGAGTCTCACTAGAAGGCATGTTTTCTAATCATTTAATAAGAGGGGCACGAGGGAACTGGAAGGGGTAGAAAGTGCTATGTACAGTCTTCCCCTCCCCCAGTCTTAGGAAGCTCCTTCGGTTTATTTACAACTTATGAATTTTAGGTGGTTCATCAGTCTCCTTGCAAGGAAAAGTTCATTTATCCATTGACAGTCCACGTTTGCAATCGAGTTACACTTTGAACTCTCTACAAGGAAGGGGGAACTTCTTTTTAAAATGAAAGCACACATCTGATCTTCTATATTAAGCTTACCAGAGCTGATGTTGGTGTCATTGCAATAATACTCATGAAGGCAACATGTGTTCTTGAAAGAAAATTGAAGTCTGTGATAGCTACTATGTCATGTCTAATTTTATGAAGTATGGTTTTCTTTAAGCACACTTTTGAAAGTTTATGCTGTTGAAATAGAATCCTTTCCCACTTGGAGGATGAAAAATAATTTTGCTGTTTGGGGATCTATATAAATTAATGAAATAATATACAGGAAATATTTCTATTGACTTCATTAGCCTTTGGATTAGATGCTTATGCACTGTCATTCAGAAGTTTCAATTAACCCTTCTTTTTTTGTCTTAGGAATGTGATATGAAAGGTGTTGTCTGCACTCGAATCTATGAGAGAGTGTGAGGAAATTCCATCTCTACTGGACTAGAATTGGCTTTGGAAACCCAGCTTAGTTCAATGAGCAAAGCCCTATCTATTATGCACCTTTTTTTCTTATTTCCTTTATCAGGAAAACAACTAAATTATCAAATGATATTTCAGAGCTGTAGTGTAACTAATCCAAAGTATTGTGGTGATTAAATAAAAGCTTCCCGACATGTGAAATGTAGCTTTTGTCTGTGTTGTAGAATCGTTTTGATTTCCTTTGTTGGGAATTGCATGCCTTTCCTTAGGGTTGATGTACTGCATAGAAGATATGAACCTACTTTCCTTGATGTATGGACGAACAAGGCTATTTCTGTTTGAAATGGTACAATACAGACTGCAAGGCACTATCTTTCTTTAGAGGTGTTAAGACACTTTTACTGAAAGCATCCTATCTGGAATAATCCTTATTTCATGGCTTTGATATTGCAGTTTCTCAAATGGTTTTACTATTGAACATTACACATAAGGATATCATCCTTACCCTACAAAACTCATAAGGCTCTCCATGCAATGTATAGTGGCCATGCTTGCAGAAGAAATAGCAGTACATCAGTATTACCACATTATTACTTCACTCTGATATTCTAAATATGATCCCACATAGTTTATACCTTTAAATGTGCTGTTATTGCCATCTTGGCTCTTTTTCCTAAAAAGACTTCCTGGAGAAAAAGAAGCATGTGTCTCATTCAGTATTTCTATCGGGAAAGGAATAGATTCTCTAATATCAAATGGTTCTTTCACTGTGAAATGAAATGTGAAGTGCTGTCTTGAATCCATTCTTGAAATCCCAGATCGACAAGGACTCGACCTTTGAAGGTGCTGAGCATTCGAGCTCAGATCCAGCAAAACACTTAAACGTGTGCTTAATATTAGGCACAAGTGATCCCTGTGACTTCAATGAAATTACTCACATGCTTAAAGTTAAGCATGTGCTTAAATGCACATTGTGCTTTGCACCTTGAAGGATCGAACCCTAGAAGAGAATACTTTCAGACTTTAACTGCACATATATTTTGAAGATCATTTGAACACCAACTCTTCCTTTTCACTTATCTGACTTGACTTAGAGTTAAGCATATTGTGCTTCACTTGAAGGAACTAGCTTAAATGAAAGCAGAGCAGGAAGGTAGCATCAAAACCTGTTTTTGAATATGCGCACAGAGCTCACATTGACTAAAATGTGAGATGCACAAAGAAAATGCAATATGCTGAATTGAGTGGTCACAGTCTACCATCAGTTTACACCCTATGAAGTTTCATTTGAGGTTTATACCAATATAACCAGGGGTAGAATATGTCACCAGAGCCCAGATTTTTAAAGTTATTTAGGCATTGCTGTGCTCAGTGCTGCAATGCCTTTCTAAAGGGATTTAGGTACTTAGCAGTCTAAATCCCATTGGCAGTCATGTTTGTAATTTACGTAACAAAACTATATTTAATTGAGCTGCGTATTTGGCTGGTCAATACTTCTCTCCTTTAGTTCTTCCACTTTGTGATGCCAACTCATTCAAACTGAGTACGTCCAGCAGTATCTATTGACTCGTTAATCAGACTAGCCCCTGTGCCATGGCCTAGCTATGTGGGAAGTTTATATTGGACTCCCTGCCTTTTCCTTCTTGGCTAGAACTGATGTGATAGAAATAAGTGTTTAGTTTGGCTTGATATGCAGCAAAGTACAGGCATGAATCTTATGCTGGCCAGCTGTATGATGTCGACTATATCATTTCAAGTCTTGGTCTTGATTTCCCCATCTGTAAAGTGCGGATAATGATAGTTTCCTCCTTTGTGAAATGCTGTGAGGTATATGGACAAAAAATGCTCTCTAAGAGTTATGTATAATTATAGGGCTCCTATCCTGATTCCCTTAGACGAGTCAATGGGAATTTTGCCTTTGTCTTCAGTGTGAACAAGTTCCAGCCTTAACATTTGTGAAAGTGAAGTACGAACACTTACGACCTGAAGCAGATATAGAAGTAGACTCATCCTTGCACTAGAGAAGGGTCCAATGCAGAGGCAGAAGGGAGGCAGCTTGTGCTTAACATAAGGCCTGTGTTCATGGAGAGCACTAAACATTTCCATGTAGCCTCCTTCTTAATACACCCTGTTTTCTGTCCAGATCGGGAGTCTTCGGTCTGCCATGGGGCCTTAGGAAACACTCAATATAGAAGAGATACCGCTGATTTTAATGCACAGGAGAATGCAGTTATAAATATTTAATACCAAGACTTTCCACATTTCTAAGAGTACAATGTGTTAAAGCAATCATAGTATGTGGGACCATAGATCGACATTGCTAATATCAATATCATTTAAGTGGTCAGTACTCTGAAACTGTTGGGGGGGGGGAACATTAAGTGAGGCTTGTTTTAATGGTTCATCCAGTTTTAGGGGTAGGGGAAACATACGTACTACAGCCAATTTCTGGGGTTGACTGTAAAGATATGAACTGTAATTAAAAAAGAAGTGTGGCTGTCATATACATGTACACTGAGGATATGTCTACACTGGAGCTGGAAGGTGCAATTTCTAGCTTGGGTAGACATACCTGGGCTAGCTCTGATCAAGCTAGTGTGCTAACAGCAGCCATGTAACCATGCAGCATAAGCAGCGGGAAGGGCTGGCCACCCAACTCCATACCTACAGTCTCAGATGGGACTGTACTTGGAGTGGCTAGCATGTCCTACCCCTCGCACCACCAAGGCTACACTTCTGTTTTTAGCTCAATCAGAGTTAGCAAGGATATGTCTACCTCAGTTGGAAATTACATCTTTAATAGATTCAAAGGCCAGAAGGGACCATTGTGATCACCTAATCTTACCTCCTATATAACACAGGCTATAGAATTTCCCCAAAATAATTTCTAGACAATATCTTTTAGAAAAAATACCCAATCTTGATTTAAAAATTGCCAGTTATGGAGAATCCACCATGACCCCTGGTAAACTGTTCTAATGGTTAATTACCCTTACTGTTAAAAATTTACACCTGATTTCTAGTCTGAATTGGTCAAGGTTCAGCTTCCAGCCAATGGATCATGTTATATCTTTCTCTGCTACATTGAAGAGCCCATTATGAAATATATGTTCCCCATGTAGGTACTTATGGATAGTAACCAAGTCATCCTTTAACCGTCTTTTTGTTAAGATGAACAAATTGAGTTCCTTGAGTCTATCACTATAAGGCATGTTTTCTAATCCTTTAATCATTCTTGTGTCTCTTCTTGGAACCCCCTCCAATTTATCAACATCCTTCTTGCCAGTGCCAAATATAGAAGTAAAATAACCTCTCTACTCTTACTTGAGATTCCCATGTTTATGCATCTCTAGATACTACTGAAATACAAGAAGTAAATAGTAATAATGCTATAAATATATAAAATTACAGAGGAGCCTAAACTACTAAAGTCAAATCCTGACCTGGCTCTAGATTCGAACTTTTCCAAAGTTCCAGGTGGTTTCAGTTAAGCCATCTCTAATCTCTAATCTCTGCTGTATTACACTAGAGCTATGATGATTTTACTGTTTGGAACATGATGAACATGAAAGCAGCCAATTTGCAGAGTTTCCATTTAACTATCTCCTGCAGTTAATGACAGCAACCAAAGTGCATGCGTCTTAATACTAACCTAGTCACTTAACATTTCACCTAGTCCTTAAATAAGCAAGATCAGCTCTTGTGAACAGTTCAAAGCTAGTCACCAGACACATTGACATCGTGCTGACCATACAGATCGGAAATGAAAATTCTCTGGGCTCTTTCCTCACACATCCCTCTCCAGGAAGGTGACTCAAATGTTCTATTACATTCTAAATAAAGCCAACATGCAACAAATGAGAGTAATAAAAAACAGGACAGAAGGGGGGAAGGAGGACAAAGGTAACAATATTATGTGGTTGTATAGGCTATTACTGGGCCCAATTCAAAGGTCACTGGAAGACTTTCCATGGACTTCAATGGACATACCATCAGGCCTAGTGTGCACAGCCTGATGGTCCTGAATCATCTAAACTTTTTAAAGTTATAGTCTTAAAGATTCCCTATCAAATCATAAACTCCAGTGCTCCCTGGACATTTGCCATCCACTCAGAAACACACACCTTGTGTTCACTGTCTGCCATTAATTCTTTATGGGTTTATTTGTCTTTTCTTGTTTTACTGGTATCTGGCTAACCCCTCACACTCTGCCCCTTCTGCCTAGTGTTTTTGGGTTTCATTTTCCCCAGCAATTTGGGACCATGATAATTGCAGCTTTAGGTCTTTAGCCCCTGAATAAGTGTTACTACTTGTTATGAACTCAGTATTTGGCATGTTCACACTACACAACCGTCATTTTTAAACTGTCTTGGGAGCTGGGATTTTTCCAGAACAGGAAAAGTGCAACTTAGCTGATAGTGAAGAAAACAGAGACAGCTGGAGCAGGTGCAGGGGTGAAAGTAACTTAAAGGACTTACTGGTACGCCGGAGTCCTGAGCGGGGGCATGGCCTCAACTGGAAAAGGCGGGACCTTTAAATCAAAATTTAAAGGGCCTGGGACTCTGGCTGCGGCTGGGAGCCCCGGGGGTCAGAGGCAATTTAAAGGGCCCAGGGCTCCGGCCACTGCTACCCCAGCATAGCTCCAGGCCCTTTAAATCGCCGGCGGAGACCTGCCGCCGCTACCCAGGGGCTCAGGCAGTGAGGCTCGGACAGCGCTTTAAAGGGCCCAGGGCTCCCCGCAGCAGCCAGAGTCCTGGGCCCTTTAAAGCACCGCCCGAGCCCCACTGCCTGAGCCCCGGGGTAGCGGTGGCAGGGGTCTGGAGGTGATTTAAAGAGCTCAGGGCTCCGGCAGCGGGGCTGGAAAGGCGATTTAAAGGGTCCGGGGCTCCTGCTGCTTCAGGGAGCCCCAGGCCCTTTAAATCACCAGCCTGGGGAAGCTGGTCTGGTCTGGTCTGGCTCTTGCCAGTATGCTGTACTGGACCTTACCGGCTTACTTTCACCTCTGAGCATATGCTACATTCCATCAGTGCCATGAAGAAGCATTTTATAACACTAATGCCCTTAAAGTAATGCTGGGAGAATCAGAAGAAACTTGTGGGCTTCTGAAACCTCAAGAACTTTTATAGAAACATATTTTTTCCACAGAAAATTAGTTTTTCACCACTTCTATGCTTCTTAAATGGAACAAGGGCTGTTGGGAC